ATACATACATACATACATACATACATACATACATACACACACACACATACATACATACACACACATACATACATACATACATATATGCACTTTGATAGACACATACACACATAAATACACACACGTACATACACACATGCATACTTACACTTTGATCGACATACACACACATACATACACACAAACATACACACATGCACTTTGATAGACACATGCACACAGACACTTACATAATAGACAGACATACACTCACTGAGGGTGAACGAAAACAGGTGGCGTCCGAAGCATGTTCTTATCGATTTTAGACCACTAAGGTATCTTTGGCGTGCGTAACTTGCACGGGGGACTTCCGAGATTTTTCGCCCTTTTCCGAGACGGCTAGATAGATGTTAGCTCCTACCTACTCAAAGGTCAGGGGTGTGGCTGAAAGGCAGCAGTAAGAAGGAGCCAAGGAGTAGCAGTAGAAAGGCAGCAGAAAGAAGGAGCCAAGGAGTAGCAGTAGAAAGGCAGCAGTAAGAAGGAGCCAAGGAGTAGCAGTAGAAAGGCAGCAGAAAGAGTCAGGAGCCCAGTGATGGGGGCAAAGGAGGTGAGGGGGTGGGGGCAGAAAGTGAAGACGAAAGTAGACAACAGAACATTGTGAGGGAGCGGGAAATGAGTAGAAGGGTGAACATTTCGAGAAGAAAACTTAATGTCGCTGTCAGGTTTCCAACCCGGGACCTATTGAAAGAGAAGTGAACACCGTAACCTCTCGACCACGAGAGAAAATGTAAATGTGGTGCGTGTAGACAAAATGAGTCACTTCTCACAATCCACAAATGGAGATATTGGCCAAAAATCGACCCAGGAGTCCAATTTGTAGACTTTTCTAGTGACGTCATATTCTTTAGGTATAACTTGCCTTTTGTTATTTTATACTTAAATATTGTAAAAACTTCATCTATAAGCGTGCTGTATCATTTACTTAAGGCTTGAATCTGAGAAGTAACTCATTTTGTCAGTATGCTTCACAAATATTACGCCTATCCCGACACAATCTTGGTTATAATGCTTCGACCTCATCTGTTTATGCCAGTCCGGGCTGAGAGGGATACAACGTCCCAGCAGACGTACGGGGAACGTGGAGACTCGATTATTATTAACACTACGCCCTGGGGTCTTTTTGTACCCCCGGGGTTGTATTCTTCACATATTTGAATACTTCTAGTGCGAAAATCTTTTTGAAACTTTCAGTATTTCTATTAAAAAATCATTAAAATTTTGACAGACTGCTATGCAAAGCGTACGGATCGGATTAACGAGTGAACTAATTACTTTTTGGAAAGTGATGGCACAGATTTCCCCACGTCGTATGGATACGATAGTAAAACACGACGTACGGATAGGGTAAAAAAACAAACCCTGTCAAACTAATTGGGAGTCAAACTCACGTCTTCTACGTATGAGGGCGAAGTGTCTACCAACTACACCGATTTCCCGCTAGGATGCTATATCACTCTTAGTCTGGGTTAGCCCTGACAGACAGGGTCGACGCAGCCCGCCTCCTAAATGATCGAACTTGTATTGATAAGTACACCGCACATCGACAATTACAACATCATCATCATCATCCAGTGCCAGATCTGCGACAGACATCGGCAATAATGGTTCTCCATTTAATCCCTTGCTCGGATGCTTTTAAAAAAGCTACGTTTCCCTGATCCTTCCCTGTCACCCATTTGTTTAGGTTTCCTAAGTATTTTGTTCAGGGCCTACCCCTGCCTCGATTGCCCTCAAGTTTGCCAGTAAGAGCTAGATGTTCAAGACCCTTATGTCTATTCAGATATTCTTCTTCTTCTTCTTCTTCTTCTTCTTCTTCTTCTTCTTCTTCTTCTTCTT